CCAGCAGGACCTGAGGGGTGGGCATCTCCTACTGCTCCCAGCGCCTGGCTTGATGTGCACACAGAGCTCCCAGCACGGCATGGGGGGGCAGCAGTACAAGCAGCTAGATAACAATGCAGGCAGACAGAGGCAGCCACAACAGGGACCCCAAAGCTCCGCAGCTGGCCAGGGATCTAGGCCTACATAGGGGCCATAGAGCCGGGGAGACGGGGTGGCCGGTAGCACCCCTGACAGGGGGGGATGCTGCCGCCTGGTCTGGCTGCTTTGGGTCCCAGGCAGCAGGCGGGTGTCAGCTCCCCTCCTTCCAGGCCTGATCCAGGTCAGGCTGAAGCCTGGGAAGCCTGCGCACTCGCGTGTGGGGTCTCTGGTTATAGCGCTGCACACAGTAACGTGAGGGCAGAGCCTGGAGGCCTGTCCTGACCCCATCACAGCCAGCTGATGCCTCTTGGGGACGGCCAGCAGGCTGTAGAGCCACCCCAGGAGAGGGGGGGAAGCTGGCATGCCCCCTCTGACCTCTTGCTTGGGCTGAGCCACATGGGGCAAGGGTGGCACCAGGAAGGGGCTTGCACGTGGCAGGAGTCTGGTCTTCCCAGGTCCTTTCCTCCTCATGCGTTTGAGCTCCGCATGGAGGTCATTTAGGTCACTGCTTCTTAGCACAGCCCCTGGGGCCGGTGGTGACTGGGCCCTACAAACCTCCTCCAGGCCCGCAGCCGGGGTCCTTGGCAGTCAGGCTGAGGCAGAGCCCAGGGCGCTGCTGAGTCCCTGCCTGTGTGATGCGTGTGGGTCGCTGCGGGGCCGTAACAGCAGCATGGCACGAGCTCCGCATGCAGTGGGTGTTGCAGGGGGAGGCCAAAGTGGCCAGGCCTGGCATTAGCCACAGGGCTGAGTCCTCCAAGCTCCCCACATGGGCCCCGCGGGCTTCGGCTTTGGGCTCGCGGAGCAAGGTGTATATGAAACACCGGGAAGGGAGCATGTGCATCTGGGGAGAGGCTGGGGCTGCCGCTCTCCTGGAAATAACCTTGCTGCATGTTGGAGAGGAAGCGTGGAAAATTGCTGAGCCGCGCGCTTTTCGCCCAGCGTGTGCCTGCCCTCGGTAAACAAGGAGAAAGGAAGGAGAGCCAGGGTGGGGGAGCCGGGAGGGGGCTGGGGCTGGGGCATGGCAGGCTGCAGCTCCATCAGCTAGGCTGTCACAGCCCGTGATCGCTGCACCCCAGCAAGACCGCTGCTCTCCGTCTCCTCCGGGCAGGGCCAGGACCATGCTTCCAGGGAAGCAGCCTCAGCTCTGCTTCGAGACCCCAGCAGCAGGAGTCACTAGCTCAAGCCATCTCCGCAGTCTCAGGTCTGCAGGGACGCAGAAGATGGCAGCACGCTCATCTCCCTCTCCGTGCTCCCCCTTCCCTGCACGGCTGGCTCCCACGAGTGGGGACACGAGCTGCCCTGAGCAGAGGCAGCGGACTGCGTGGGGCAAGGGCAATTTCTCAAGGAACTACCTGGGACTTCTTCCGCCCCCAGCTCAGCCCTGCACACCTCCCCCCGTCACTGCAACCTCCAAAAGCAGGCAGCATCCCTCTGGAGCCAGGGCAGGGAGCGGGAACCCCACGCCCCGTGCAGTCACGCGGGCAGCCCGGGGGCCCAGAGCGCAGGAGCAATAACCACGCATCATCGGAGCACAGTCAAGCTCACTTAGCATCAGCGTAGAGGGGAAGGCCCCGGCGGTGGAGACCGGGCTCCCCAGCGGCTAGGGGCTGCCAGGGTGACCTCGAGCCAGCCGCTGTTCCCACCAGTGCCGCGGGCACCAGGTCAGCCAGCCGGGCCCCGAGCAGACCCGGGCAGCGGCGCTGCTCTGCTCCCTCCTGCCTTGGCTTCCAAGAGCTGCACCTGCGAGCCACTGGGCTGAAAACTCGGCACAGCTGTGCCCCGGGTGCAGCACCCACCCTGGCTCTGGACCGGGCTCCCGGCTCCTCCGCCCTTTGGTGGAAGAGGGAGCTGAGAAAGGCTCCTCCTCTACCAGCAAGGTGCTTCGGGTAGGTGCGGTACCTTTTCTGAGACCAGCTGAATAGTTGGAGAAATTGTTCTTTGCAAGCTGTCGGGCACAAACGCCCTTCTTCTTCCTTTCATGTGCTTTAACGGCAGGCGGCAGCAGCCCTGGGTCCACCAGCGAGCTCATTAGCCAGGCGCATTTGCTGACATGGCACGTCGCGGGGGGGGGGGGGGGGCCGCTTCCCAAGGGACATTACCCAAGAAGCTGCGTCGCTGCGAGCAGAGGAGCGGCGCTGCGCAGGGACGCCCCTTCCCGCCACCAGGCTTCCCCAAGCAGCCATGCTGGGCCCGGGGGCCGCTGCAAGAGCCCCAGCTTCTCCGGCCCTGCAGGACGCAAGGGAACGGCTCTCCTCGCCGGCAAGCCGGGCCCTGCCCCTGCCCCGTGACCGCCTGTGCCACACACCAGCTTCCCTGGGGGAAAGCCCCCTCCATGCGCCCCAGCCCCTGGCTTTTCTGTGTGGGCCAGGGCCCGGGGGAGCCTAGACTCTGCCTCCCAGCCCTTGGACCGGTTATGCTCCACCGGGGTGTGGCAGCACCCTGGGGTGCCACGAGATCCTTTTCAGGCTGCCACAATATCAGCGCTGCTAGGTGCGCCAAGACCTCCACGTGATTCACCAAATAGGCCCGGAGGTTTCAAACGGGAATCCGGAGCGCCCAAACCTTTCTGCCCTGCTCGGGACTTTGTGAGGTCTCTGCCGCAGGAGAGTGGCTCTAGCATTTTTCTGCAGTCAAAAAATACGGGGAAGTGAAGAGCTGCTGTTTTCCAGGTCTGCCAAGGCATGCCTGGGTGTGCCAAGTGGATCTGCCGAGGGGTGACCTGGGTCTGCCCGGGCTGAGCCCCCCCGGTTGAAACACGCTCAGCAACTCAGCGCAAGTCCCCCCGGCCGTTAGCCAGCCGGCTCTCCGCTGCTAGGCCGAGAGCATCACCCGCGGGAAGGCGGCCTGTGTCCGCTCCGCGCAGCACCGCGCTCGGGTCGGCCCAGCCGGCCGGCTCTGCGGGGAGCACCGCTCCGCTGCCTGGCCGGCCGGGCTTGCCTGCCTCTGAGCGCCACCTCCCGTCCGCTTCGCGCGGGCCCGGCGACGGAAGCGCAGCCGCAAGACCGGGCCCCGCAGCCCGGGAGCAAACACCGACGGGCGCCGCACGCGGCAAATCCGCACGTCAGGAAGCGCAGGCGTGAAAAATCAGCCCGGCCCCTTGCCTGGACACATGGGTCTTTTCAGCCGTGTCAAGAACGATGCCAGCGTGTGTGTGCGCGGTACAGGGTGGGGCGGCACGGCAGGCATGGCGCTCGCGGTCGCGCGTGACCGAGGCTGCACGAATGAAGGGTGCCGAGAGGAATTTGGCCTGCCGCGGGTGAGGAGAGCGCGAGAGCTGCTGAAAGGCTGCGCACACCCGCCGCGCCGCCAGCAGACACCGGTCGTAACTCGCGGCAGCTAGCCCAGCACGGCGGAGGGGGCTACTGCCCGCGGCCGCCCCAGGGGCCTCAGCGGCCGCGGACGACTTCTGCTAGGACGCGGCCAGCGCCGCTGCGCCAGATGCGCGCCCTGCCAAACCTGGGAGGTACCCGGGGCGCAGAAACCCGCCAACACAGCGGCTCTTTCACTTTTTAGGGTACGGCGTAGCTCAGGTCTTGTCCCCCGGCTGCAAACTGGGAGGCGAAAATCCTCCCCGCTGCCGGGGGCAGGAGCAGAGTATGGCACTTCTGTAGCACGGTATCCCCCGGGCAGACGTACCCCAGGCCCTACAGAAGGATTAGCCCTGGGGGAGGAGGGAGGACCTGTGTGTGTCCTCAGGGAGTCAGTGCAAAACCTGACACCGACTGAGCCGAGGTGAGCATTTGCAGGCGGGGTCCCTGTGGGACAACCCCCAGGATGAGGAGGGGGCTCCCAGGAGAGCAAGCAGAAACAGTGCGAGCCGCAGGCCCTCTGCGTGGGTGCCTGTGGTTTCCAGCAACTCCCCCCAGCATCCCCTGTCCAGCCTCAGCCCCCACCATGGGTGCCCCAAGTCCGAGTCCTGTCCTGGCTGCGCTTACCAGGCTGGTCCCTCGCCCAGGCTACGCCCGCAGCCTCTGCCGGCTGTTCCCTGGCTGGACCTGCAGACCCGGAGGTTGCCCCTCATCACCCCTTTCAGTAAAGTCCATGCTGATACCCTCCCCCCCAAACGCACCGCCATGCATGTGCCCCCTCTCTGGAGTTCACCGAGTCTGGGAAGACTGGGGCCGCTGGGAGAGGGAGGGGATTGGCAGGAGGGAGAAGCGCTGGTGGATGGTGACGTCCCCTCTGTTTCCCACAGGGTACATCCAGCACTGCCTCACTGCCCCCAGCTACGAGACGGACAAGAAGCCGGGGCTCCAGCTGGTGCCCCCCGAGCCTGCCTATGCCCCGGGCCATGAGGAATACAGCGACCCCGAGAGCCCCCAGTCGAGCCTCTCCGCCCGCTACTTCCACGGCGAGGCCGCCGTCACGGACAGCTACTCCATGGATGCCTTCTTCATCACCGACGGCCGGTCCCGGCGGCGCGGGGAGAGCCCGCGGCGGGGCAGCCACCGCCACGGCTGCAGCCAGTGCGGCAAGACCTACGCCACCTCCTCCAACCTGAGCCGGCACAAGCAGACGCACCGCAGCCTGGACAGCAAGATGGCGCGGAAGTGCCCGACCTGCGGCAAGGCCTACGTGTCCATGCCGGCCCTGGCCATGCACGTGCTGACCCACAACCTCAAGCACAAGTGCGGCGTCTGCGGCAAGGCCTTCAGCCGGCCCTGGCTGCTGCAGGGCCACATGCGGTCGCACACGGGCGAGAAGCCCTTCGGCTGCGCCCACTGCGGGAAGGCCTTCGCCGACCGCTCCAACCTGCGCGCCCACATGCAGACTCACTCGGCCTTCAAGCACTTCAAGTGCAAGCAGTGCGAGAAGACCTTCGCCCTCAAGTCGTACCTCCACAAGCACTACGAGTCCGCCTGCCTCAAGGGCTCCGAACACGGCTGCGCCCTGGAGAACTGAGCCCCGTGGCCCGGGGGAGGGCAGGGGACCGGCGGGTGGAGAAGAGGAGCCGTCGTGGGCCGGCCGGGAAGCAAGGGTTCCCCTCTGCCCTCCTCCGGCTGCTCCCCCGGGGCCTTCTGCAGCTGGGGGCTTGGAGAGAAGTGCTTTCCCGGGGATGCTCCCGCAGACCAGTGCCTGCCTGGGGCAGGGCATGTGTTTGTCTCCTCCGCTTCCCAGCCCGGGGGG